ATAGTTACTAGTACTAATATTACCTATATAATTAGTATTATACTTATAATAATTACTAACTACCTTAAGTTACTATAAATCCTAATAATCCTCTATACTAATTTATACTCCCTCTATAAGTGCCTTATAAAGCTTAGTACTACTAAGGAGAAGTAAATTATAATTAATATTATAGCGCTTTACTAGTTATATAAGTAACATAAGATCTATAAGATCTAATAAATATAAGAGGAGGATAACCTAGTAGATAGATTTATAAAGTTATATATTATTTTCTTAATTTCCTTACTATATAAGAGCTTTAATAAGCTAAAATAACTTATATTAAGAGGCTAAAGCTTATATAATAAATCAAGAGGTATATATAAAGTAATAACTTTTTATTCTTTATAAAAAATATTAAATTTAGTTAATTTATAGCTACTATAGCTTTTAAGGATTAAGAGTTAATAAGTACTTTTTATATTAGACTTTATATACTAGTTAAAATAATTTAACTAATTTAGACTAATCTTATTTATTTTTTATCTATTTTTACTTAAGTAAATATACTATTTAGCTAGAAATTAGCTATTTTAATACTAAGAGAGGAGGTATCATTTACTTTTTATAATAATATATAGAGGTATTACCTAGCTATTTATATATACACCTTAAATAATAGAAACCTATTCTTAATTACTAAGCTACTTTATATAAAGCCTTTTCTTATAATTAGAGGTTATAATAACCTTTATATATAATAGTATTCTTGTTAAGAACCTAGTCTTATTAAAATTATAAATATTATAATTTTATATTTTATACTTAATAATTATATTTTATATAAGTATAAACTAGCCTTATATAATTATAAGATCTTTAGCTAAGGCGTTTTAATAGTTAATTTAATATTAAAATTATATTTTTAATTAAGGCTATTATTATATAAAGTTCTTTACCTATTAAGGTTTAATATATATTACGTTATATCTATTTAGAAGTTAGTTAGCTATATCTTATATGTCTCTTTATTATAAAGAAAACCCTTAATTAATTAGGTTAATAACCCTCTTAAGAATTACCTCCTCCTCTACTTCTATTATCTTTTTTAATTTTAGATATATCTTGTCCTATAGAAGTATACTAATACGTTATATATAAAGGGTTCATTTAAGGACGTTAAAGATAGTAGCTACTTTTTATCTAGACATTTCTAGCTCTTTTTTAATAGCTTAAAGGGTAAGGATAATTTAGCTTTCTTTAGAGGAAGAGCTTATGTTTATATATAGAGAAAAGTAGGTATAAAGGTTATAAAGGTAGAAAAGTTATAAATATATATAGCTTACTATAATATATAGCTTACTATATAAGTATATTAGAGGTACTAGTTAATTATCTAATTAAACTATTATAAAGATAAAAAATCTTTATAAGTTACTTTAACTACTTAAATCTAAAGGTTTATATTATAGTAATATATTCTAAAGTAGTTATAAGAAATAAGGTCTAGTAAGTACCTCTTAGTATTAGTATTAGGCTAAAAGATTCTTATAGTAAATAGTCTATATATTTAAGCTAAAAAATAACTTAAAATAGCTATAGTAGTTACTAGTACTACTACTACTTATATTTAAGCTATTATAGTATAAAAACAAGCTACTATAAGCTTTTTTATATTTAATATTAGTAAAAGTAGTATAGCTATAGTTAACTATAGGCTTTTTTACTACCTTTACTAGCTAAGGTTACTTTATAACTAGGCTATACTTATTAAGTCTTAGTATTCTTATAATTATCTTATTATTAACTTAAACTTTACTAATTAAGTAGCTATAGTTATAGTACTAGCCTTTTTACTAAGGTACTAACTTAAAGGAATTATATTTCTTACTTAACTTTAGGCTAAAGGTAGTAAATATTACGTTTACCTTAAGGGTAAGTATATATCTTACTTTTATTAGCCTTTAATATAGTAACTTATACTATCTAGAAATTAGCTTAGTATATTAAAAAACTATAGTCTAAGTAAGCCTACTAATAAAATAGTATTATAGCCTAGTAAGATTATAATTTCTTATTTTTTACTTTTTAATTTAGGCTATATTATTATAGTAGCTTTTACTTATTTTAAAAATAATAAGTCTAAAGAAATACTTCTCTTATATTTAGGTATATTACTTATTATAATATCTTTACTTAAGGGTAGTTATTAAAAAGGCCTTTTTTAAGAGGTAAGTAGTATTTATTTAGTTAGGTTTTTTCTTAGTATAACTAGGTTTTTAAATAACTAAAAGCTTTATAAGTTACTATAAAATAGTTTAATATCCTTTACTTTACTATATAGTCTTAATAAAAGTAGTAAGTTAATTCTTATATCTCTAATAATTCTTTTTACTATATAAAAAGTACTTTTAATCTAAAAGAGGTTGTTAGCCTAGCTAATATCTAACTAAAAGCCTTATTACTAGTTATTACTAAAGTAATATAGTATATCCTTATTAAACTTTATAGTTATAAGGGATTATATATTATTATAAAGACTTTAAGGTAGTTACTAAGTAACCTTATAGGTTAGATTTTACTAGAGCTATATATAGAACTACCTAAGGTTTAAGATCTATTTAGGTTAAAGTGTTCTTAGTATACTATGTCTTTAAGACTATTACTTTTATTAAGGTATATATATTTCTTTACTAAATAGTAGTAAAAAGGAAATTTAAATAAAAGTAATAAAGATAATAAAAGTAATATAACAGTATAGATTAAGATAGTTATCCTACTACTTAATATAGTCTAATAGGTAATAGCTTAGTTAACTATCTTAGAGCTAGGAGCTATAGCTAGTAACAGCTAGTCTTATAGACTACTAATAGGTAGGGATAAGTTAGGCACCTACTAGGACCTACTAGTTAGCAGGATATTAGTCTAACTAATAGATCCACCAGCCAGGCCGTAAAGTAGGTCTAAGGTCGGCTGCAGTTATCCTGTAATAAATAACGTCTATCTCTTATTCTTAATACTATATACCTCCTATATCCTTTAGCTACTTAACTAAGTAGTCTTTAGTCTTATAAAGTGTTATAACCTAACAAGTTACAGGCAATATTGCCCTACTAGACAAGACGACCAGCAGGCGGCGTGGTATTTATACAGAACTAACAACAGGTTAGATCAGGATAACCCCTTAGATCTAGAAGAACTATAGTATAAGTCACATAACAATAAGGAAAGTAATCACAAAGATAAGGTAATCACTAATAATCACTAAAGTATGCGCTTAGTAGTATTTACTAAGCGCTTACCTTATATAAGGACAGTAATTACTTATAATTGTTAAGGATTAGGACTTATATATAGGATAGACTTAGACGTACTTAAGGACAGACTTTTATAGCTCTTTAGTAATTAACTCCTTTATAATATATTCTCTAAATACCTTTTAGTATCTAACCTTAGTGAATTATTAATAAGAGCTATATAAGCTACTTTTATAACTATTAACTACCTAACTAATCACTAAGTAATTAACAGACTAGTAAATCCTATACTACTGTTAACTAAGTATTAACCCTAGCTTATTTCTAGTGGAAATCCTACTATTAGATTACTAACTATAACATAAAGGTAGCCTATTATAAAAAGCTTAGATACTTTACTTAGTAGAATAATTTAACTATTATTAGTAAAAAGAACTTTATATTATATTATTAGAAGGCCTATACTGCTAGTCTAACTATAGGTAATATAAGAAGTAGCTAAAAATACAATAAGTTATAGCCTATTACTGTTATAAAGCCTCTAATAAGCTTTTATCTACTACTAAATAAAATAGCACTATTAATACTACTTAATAAGGCTAAAAGAAGTAGCTATAGTAGCTAAGATACCTAAGATATAAAGAGAAAAGTATCTATTATATCTAGTAGGCAGTAGTTAACGTCTAGGAAAAAGAGAAAGCTAGATAATTAACTTTAGTTATTTACTTAGCTAGATTAAACTATTACTATATAACGCTAGCTCTTTAGAATGGTAAAAAAAAGGCTTTAAAAAGTAAGCCTTTATATAAGCTATTACTAAGCACTAAATATAGCTCCTCTAGGCTAAACTTAATAACACTACTACTAAGAAGAGGAAGGCTATTTAACTAGATCTAAACATAAAGTTTATAATAATTAAAGAGTTGTAGTAAGCCTAGATTAAGGCTAGTGAGGCTAAAAGAAATATAGTTAAATCTAGTGTATCTAATATACCTAGTCAGGCTAAAAGCTATATTATTACAGCTTTATAAGGTAGTTAATCATTAATTAAATAAAGTGGTAGTAGTTATAGAAGCTTTAATTTATAGTGGTTAAAATGTAGGGGTAGTCAAAAAGTAGGTGCTTTGCCTTAACAAGGGGACTTAGCTAGTAGGGGAAGTGAACACATAGTCTAGAATTAATTATATTTAATTACTATATCTATTGCCTTACTAGAGTGTATCTCTTTATAGTTTAAACTGTACTTGTAAAGTAAGCTTCCTAAAAGTAAGAACATTCCACTAAATACTGAATTACTTATAATCTAATATTTTTTATTTTTTTTCTAAAACTTAGGTTTGTTTCTAGGATTCTCAGCCTACCCTTTCCTCCCCTTAAGGATATATTACTCCTCTAGCTAGTCTACTACGTAAACATCTTAAGCTTTCGAGCGGGCCTAGGCGGGTAATTTCGGCCTGCCCGGCTTTTCGGCCCCTCTAGGGGCAGCCATAAATTATTATCCACTTTAGTACAGCAGTACTAAGGGGGCTCCCCAACGAATAATTAAAAAGCAATAAACAGTTGAAGCTAAATAGACAGCAAAAAGTAAAACAGAGGTTAGTTAATAAACCTATAAAATGAGCCTTTAAGAACAAAGCTTTTCTTAAGAAATAAATAGTAGATAGCTGTTAGTAGTTCTTGCTCTACAATATGTTCAGATTTTAGCCTACTTATTTCTGGCTGGTTACACAAGTCCTACTTTATACTTGGCCTCTGTTCAGAATGATTGTATCGTCATTTCTATTCTTTATATTTCTACTGGCACGGATCTGCTATGCTGATGATCCTGAAGTCATCAGTTTGCATAAGTCCCTAGTCCAAATCCAATCAACTACCAAGACCGGTAACCCCAAGACCGACGAACGCAATGTTCAGGCCTTTATTGAAAAATGGCTCAAAGATATGGGAACAAGAAATCGCTTGAACATCAAGGTTGAGCGCCAGGAGGTGACAAAAGGACGGAACAATCTCTACATCTATACTGGTCAAAAGAGGCGTACTCGCGTGATGCTGACGTCTCACGTCGACACTGTGCCCCCGCACATCGATTATAGCGTTAAAGGCGACACAATTTACGGACGTGGTTCAAATGATGCCAAGGGAAGTGTCGCTGCTATGATGATCGCTTATAGAGATCTCCTGGTCAGTAAGCAGGTACATGAAGGAGATCTCTCCCTCCTTTTTGTCGTAGGCGAAGAGATCGGCGGCGAGGGTATGAAGGAGGTTCCGAAATTGGGGCTGACGTGGGATGCTGTTGTCTTCGGCGAGCCAACGGACAACAAGCTCGCCTCAGGCCAAATCGGAGGCATGGTGTTTAACGTTACGGCTACTGGGAAAGCATCTCACTCGGGATTCCCTGAGCTTGGCATCAATGCGATCGAGCAAACCCGCGGGGTCATGGATGCCCTACATATGGCATTGAACGACTTGCCTTCCAACCCCACATACGGGAAGAACAGCCTCACCATAGCACAGATCAGTGGAGGTGTGGCAGACAACGCTGTCCCTGCTAGTGCGTGGGTCTCCGGATCCTACAGACTCACCGTCAAACCATCGGAAGTCATCAAACGACTTGGACCCTTTATTAATCAAAAAGTATGTCCCCAAACGACTTCAAAGAAACACGACACAAAACAACCCTGTGATTCTATTACGGTTACGTATCCGTTAGAGGAGGACCCGTTAGCCATTGATCACGACGTTCCAGGTAAGCTTATATTATCTTTGTTATGAGGTAATCAAGTTGCTAATCTTCAGCATAGGTTTCCAAACGTTTGCGGCTCGCTTTGGGTCAGATATCAGTATACTGACCGGAATGCATAAAAAGTATCTCTATGGGCCTGGCAGCATTCTCTCAGCACACAAGCCGGAAGAATCTATTACGAAAAGTGAGCTTATTAATGCGGTTGAGGGCTATAAAAAGATTGTAGCATTCAACTTGCGATCTTAGACTAGGGGTAAAAATACCCAGACCATTGGTACCCACGGTCGCCAATAGAAATGGTTTAGGTATAGAAGGGGATAAATAATGTAATAATCGAACCCTTTTCTTTAAAATGAACCATCTAGCGCTTTAGTTAGTTTCTTATGTATGAGAAACCCACTTTCACTAAGAGGCTTAACTTCTCAATGATAATTATTAACTATACCTCACACATCTAACTACTTAATCTAGCTAGCTTATATAAGACTGTATCTTACGCTTTAGTGCTTATTATACTGTTTCTTATAAGTACCTACTTGAAGTATCTGAGACTATTACTGGCTAACTAGTCTCTCTATAGGCTTCTCTGGCATATTACGTAATACAAGTGTACTACGTAGTGTTTGTTACTCCTTAATAAGGAATCCAGTAAGTGCAAGTAATGGTACACGTATTAATAGAGGCGAGCTCAAGGATGACTGCACCAACTGCTTCTTTCCCTGCTTCAAGACACACCTCATGTTGTATGCTTCAACATGTTCCATACAACCTCAGGTATATTCAGATGGTCCCGTTGCCTCGCCGAGACGACTCATGTCCCTTGTGTAATGTGATGGATTCCACCGGCATATACCTACCTAGGTAGATAGCTTCCATCGGCGCAGAGCTTCCTAGGCAACGCCGTCATAGACAACTTTATAGAGATAATTACTACCTACACGCTCTTAAACCTCTAGGCTATTACGTCAGACGTGTTCCAGATTAACGCCAACTTTAGCCTAGTTAAGGCCGTAAACAAGGTCTTTTTATAGTCCCACATAGACAGCCTTTTGCATCTAGGGCCAGCCCTGCCTACTAAGGCTTTAGCTAGCGGCTCCTTTGCTAGATAGAGAGCCCACAGAGGGTTCCAAGTCAACGCTACGTAGCAAGATAGCTACATTAAAACGGCGACTATCGTGGCGTCTATTAACAGTCCACTTAGCATCAGAGTAGAGAATAGGCTTAAATTTAACGTCAACAGCAGCCCATACGTTGCCCCAATTCAGGCCAAGAAAGGTCAGAAGTATGTCATCACCCCATTATAAGTATAGCTCAAAGAATATATCGGACGTACTTATAATTCTCCTTACCACCGCAGTAATACTATAGCAGTCGTTCAATTTATAAATCGCATTTAGGCACAGTTTAATCGCCGCAAGGCCAGAAGAAGTCTTAGGACGCAATTCGTCTCCCTAAATCACTAATAGCGGTTAATATCTAGTTAGAAGGGAAAACATATACTTCTACATCAAGGAACAGTCTCAGAGCTCACATACCAGCTTAATATTACATTCTTAATTTCCCTTTATCTTAAATACAGATATTTAGCAAGAAATAACCCTTAAAAAGTAAAGAAATCAGATAACAATATTATTTTCTTTATATTAAGGTGACACACAGCAGCAGAGAGTATAGGCAGCAAACTATCTATCATAAGATAATATATAAGTGTTAGTTACTACTATATAACTATTAGTACTGTTATTACATAATAGTTATAAGCCTAGTTTAACTGCTACTATAACTTAATAGTATAGTTAGTAACTTCACTTTAAGAACTCTATATTACGACCTAACAAGTTACAGGCTATGTTACCCCCACCTAACAGACAGATAATAGGCAGTAGCGGCATTTATACAGACAAGAAATAAGGAACAGACAGATAACTCCTTAGAACAGAAGAACTATAGTATAAGTTATATAGAGATAAAGAAGTAATTATAAGATAAAGTAATTACTAGTAATTATAAAAGTAAGCACTTACTAGTATTTACTAAGTGCTTACCTTATATAAGGATAGTAATTACTTATAACTATTAGTTAAAAGAACTATTTAAGGAATAGTTAGGACTTATATATAGGATAGACTTAGACGTACTTAAGGACAGACTCCTATAGCTCTTTAGTAATTAACTTATAATATATTTTTTAAATACCTTTTAGTATCTAACCTTAGTAATTTAATTAATAAGAAGCTATATAAGCTACCTTATAACCCTAAGCCCTAACTAATTATTAAGTAGTTAATAAAAATAATAAAAAAAAAGAATACTATTAACTAGGTACTAACCTCTACTTACTATTAGTAGAAACCTTACTATTTAAAAACTAGCTATAACACTTTAATTACTTTTATTAAGTAAGTTAACCTTAATACTTACCTAATAGTATTTTATAATATTTATACTTAAGATAACTTTAACTTCTTTTAGGTTTAAAAAGAACCTAACTACCTTAGCTAGAAGCCTAAATAAGAAAATAGAAGACACTAAAAAGTTAGATAATAAGCTAGACTTTACTTAAGGTATATATAATAAGATTTAGTAGTATATTAAATATAATAATAATAATATAGCTTAAATATAAGCTATAATTAATAATATTAGTAGAAAATTAAATACTAAAACCCTTAAAGTTAGCTAGCTATAGAATATAGTCTATAATACTATTACTTAGCTAAAAAATAAAATAGTAAAAGCGTATAGGGTATAAAGGACTCTTATAGTGTAGTAACTATATAGAACACTATAACTACTAAAAGTAACATAAGATTCCTTACTAATTAGTGTATAAATTATATAAATTTATCTAGAATTAACATTAATTAGAGTGTTAAACTATAAGATTAAGTATAACTATATCTTAATTAGGTAGATAATTACTCCTAATTATCTTATATTATTATAATTAAAGGTAAATTATAAAAAGGCTTTAGTTTAATTAGAAGTTAAGTATAAGTATAAAAGATAAATTATATATATATATCTTTAAATCTATTAACACTAGCTTATATTCTTATACTTAATTAGGATTAAGATCTTCTAATTAGCCTATATACTATCTTACTTTAGGCTAATTACTTTACCCTGCTCTAATTATCCCCTAATTTCTTTTTTATAAGTCCTCTTAAGGAGAAATTATCCTTAAGATTAGCCCTTATATAACTACCTTTATAATAAATTAGTATTAGCTTTTCTTTTTGTTCTTCTTCTTAGCCTCTACCTCCTGCTTATATACTGCCTTTATATAATCCTATTAAAGCCTTACGTCCTTATAATCTTAGCCCTCTTAATTCTAGCTTAATAATAGTAGTACTTAAGGTATATATATATAGGTTATATAAGCTAACTTATTAATTAAGTTATTATATTAATTAACTTATGTCTTTTATATATACCTATTAATTACTAGTTTCTTAAAAAGCTTATTTTAGTAGTATAGTAGTTATTAATAGTAATTTATAGCCTTTTATTAAAGTAACTTATTAGCTTCTTACTAATAAAGCTTTAACTTACTAAGTATTAACTTATAATCTACTTATCCTAACTATAAGTTTAGATCTTAAGAAGTTATCTTTTTTAGCTATAAGTTTTTACTTTACTTAATTAATAAGGGTTTCTAAAGTAGTTAAGCCTAAGTTAGAGGGTTCTTCTTTATAACGTCTTTAATCTAAGGTAAAACCTAAGCTAGAGGCCTAGTTTTAGTAACTAATAATAAAGTTAGCCTAAATAAGATAAAAAGTAAATATAGGTTTATAAGTAAATATATAAGTCTCTTTAATTATAGCGTTATATTAAGCGTCTAGGGGATTAGTTATAAGGTAACTAGTAATATTTAACTAAGAGGTATAAGACTTATAGGAGTATACTTAAAATTAGACTCTCTTTTAATAGTATTTATTATTAAAGTAAACTAATTAGGTAGGTTTTAAAGTATAAAGCCTAATAATAGTCTAAGTAGTAAGTACTATCTCTAGCTAGTAACTAATTAATAATAATATAAGCTAAAGATCTAAGGATTAGTTAGTATACTTTATTTAATTAACACTATAGAGCCTAGCCTTAAATATAGCTTCTTAATAATTATATAATCTAATTTAGCGCCTACTAAACTTAGTTACCTTTATAGTAAAACTTATAGCTAATTTACTAAATCTAGTATATATATATTTAATTACTTAGTGTACTTTTTATTTTATTACCTTAAAAGATAAGATTCCTAGTTAAGTATAATTTACTATACTAGACTACTATTTAGAACTACTTTAAAATATAAAGACTATACTCCTATAAGCTAGGCTATAAGGCTACGTTAATAATATAAGCACTAGTGTTAATTAGATTCTTAATATATAGTAGGGCCCTTATGTCTTAGTAGAATCTTTAGAGTGCTAGGATGTTATTAATAAAGATTACCTTAAATTAGCCTACCTCCTAAAGAGGGTTATACTAATAAACTATACTATCTTATTAGTTAATAATTATTCCTATAAAGTGTTTAAAATAATTAATAAATAGTAAAAAGAGGACTAAGTATATAGAAGTCTTAATTACTTTATAAATAGTAAGTAACTAAGGAACTAGGACTAAGGTAATATTTAGATTAGTAAAACACTTCTAGCTAATTAAAACTACTATAATATTATAGACTAGTTATAGGTCCTAAGTTATAACCTCTAACGTTATAGTAATCCTATCTCTCCTTATTTAATCTCTTTAAAGTAGTTAACCCTATAGGTTATAGTAATTAAATAAGATAGTTCTTACTTTTTAGTAGCTTTAGCCTTACTATTCTTACTAGCTATCCTAGATTATAAAGGCTACTAGTTACTATTATAAGAACTAATTTATATCCTCTTAAAGAAGCTAGTTAGAAAAATATATATTAAGTTTAGTTAAAATAAAGTATATAAAACTATCTTAAATAAGTATAACTTATAGGTATACCTAAGTCTAGTAGCTAAAGTAGTTATTTACACTAAGATTAATAAATTAGGAGTTTTAAGCTTTTTTAGGTATAGCTAGTAGTATAGTCTTAAATTTAATTAGTCTATTTAATTACTAGCGTCTTATATAGTTATATAAGTTATTCTTAAAGTTATAAATAGTATAAGGGCGCTAGACTTAGGTAGCTATACTACTATAGTTCTATAAAAAAGAAGAGATTAGGCTAATAGAAGATATTATAGTAGCGCTTAGTAGTAAAA